CTGGGCATCCTGAGTAAATCCTTATGCTTTACCCCTCCGAGAGCTGTTGTTTCTGTTTTTACCTTTTCCTGTAGGCCCCTATCCAGAGAAGGAAAAAGCCTGCTTCACAGAAAAAGCGACGATTTAAGACTCATAACGAACACATGGCTGGAGTGCTGAAGGACTACTCTGACATTGCTCCTGGCAAATAGTGAACAGTTTTGTAGGTGAGCAAAGAGTTACAAATACAAAGTCAAGATCTTTCTTGTTGCTACTGGGATCTGAAGACTGTCTTCCCATTCTACTTCTTAGGACTGAGGAGAGGAGCAGTTCCGTTTACAGAACAAGTACAAATTACCAAACTCAAAGCTTATTCTAACTGAATAGGCTGATGAGAAATGTGATGTTCCCTGTTAACTTCTCTTACTTCTTGGGGGAGAGGCCTGCAGGTGTCTTTGCTGTTTATCTCTTCTAAGTGGTTCCTGGTTCCATTTTCCCTTTTACTCCTTTAGAACAAGTTTGCAGATAGTCTTGAATGCAATATTTGTTTATTCCAAAGTAACATATTTATAATAAAATCATTGCAGAAGGAATTGCAGAAGTTAGTGAATTAAGTTGTTTCTTTTCATTCTTGGCAATGGCAGTTGGCAGCTCCAGTCTTTAACTCCCACAGGGGGCGTGTTTGGGACGTTGTTGGAGACTGGGACCTGTGCTGCGTTGCTGAACATACGGAGTTCATAGTCGGAACTCAAAGCGTGCCTTTTGTTAGCCAGTGAAGCAGTAAAGGTACACTGCATGTGATTTGTAATGTTTTCTTTTAAAAGGATAATCAGAATTTAGCCTCTTGGATTTTGCAAGTCATTGTCTCATGCCATCAAGGATGGATAGAGTCATCTTGCCAACCTGAATGTCAGCTTTACAGTCCAACTCTCAGGGGACTTGAGGGTGAGGTTCCTCTGGTGGAGAGTTATCTCCTCTTCACTGGGCAAGCTCTTGATCAAATACATGGGCTCGTAAGAGTCATGATGCCTTACGGGAAATCTCTATGATCATTCCAGCCTTCTGTAACAAACTCCCCATTTTCCGTAACTGTACTTGTGATACAGTCTGTGGTTGATCATTACAGTCCTCATATCACAACTTACAATTGTAGTGGACTATAAAAATAAGGTTCGGTGTTCTCAAAAAGGGTGCCATGGTATCCTAAAGCAGTAAGTACTTTGTGTAGATGACAAAGAGTCCTTTTGCGGCTTTAGTTCTTTTAATCCCTCTGTTTACTTATCACCTGCATCTACAGAGTTATTGTTTACCTCTTTCTTACATCCAAGCCCCAAAACATGGCATGAGAATATGTAAAACTGAGGCTCCCCAGAACATGGGGAACTTGCTGGTCTAGCTTTCTATCAGAGGTGTTTTGGCAAGTAAGATGGGGCTTCAATGTCTTAAGGTATAAAACTAGTAAAAAGTTTTCTGTAAAAATCTGGAGCTAGCTTATCTCCAAGTATGCCTACTTTTCGTGGTCTCTACACACCATCCTTTTGTTTTTCCAGTTTATTGAGATATAATTGACCTACAGCTCTGTACAAGTTTAAGGTGTAAAGCATAGTGGTTTTACTTACACATATCATAAAATCATTACTACAGTAAGTTTAGTTAACATCCATCATCCCATTATAGG